TAAATATCAGAAACAGTCTCAAAAGAATCAAGTTTAGATTTGGCTTTTATTTTTTTTGTTTCATTGCATTTTTTTTTTCAGTATTCAATACGAAATCATCCCCTGTGTGCAGTTGCTCTGTAGTGATCCAAATGCAAGTGTGCGAAATTCAATAGCGCAGAATTTGGGAGATGTCGTCAAATCGTTGCAGTAATTCTAATTTATTTTTAATTTTGTGGGAGGGTGGTTTTCTTATGAAAATTCAAATGAACAGAACTTTATTGATGGCAGAAAAGTATTCAAACGATTTTTTTTGAATTATCCGTTTTGAATTAAACTTCGAAGTACATATATGTACTAATATTAACTTTTTAAGATTATCCTCACTGCCAACAGTGATGAGGTAAAATTTTTTAGTGATAGTTTATCAAAATTACATGGCTCCTTTGTTAACAATCTTTGGACGATTAGCTAATAAGTTTTCTATTTATGCCAATAAAGTAAAGCATAAGGATTTTGCTTTATCATAATTAAATTATACTTCGATTACCATCATCTATACTTAGAAATACTAATGACTGTGCAAAGATGCTTGTACCGTGTTTGGTAGAACTTTGCAAAGATGCTGATATTGGTACCCGGGAAACGGCTCTAGACACGGTTGCTCACTGTATTCCATTCTTATCAAAAGGTGGGCTTTTATAACAAATAACAATGACATATAGATGATTGTTTACAAAATATATCACAAAATTTTTTTTTATAAACTGAAAGAACGTGAAAAACTATCATATTCTAACTTCCAACCACATGTCTGTCAGATTGCTCAAATGAACTACCAATTTCTTTTAGTTAATTTACTTATTATATGCTTAAATTAAATTGAAAAAAGTTAATGTAAACATAACATCGATTTTAGAAACAGTCCTGATAGCTTTGAGTGATTAAACATAAATTTGGTAACTGCTATATTACTTTAATACATCATTTGCTTTACATGAAATTTAGCAAGTATATTTAATGAATTTAGACAACGAATTCTTTTATAAACTTTATCTTCGTTAAACTTCGGCATTTCCGCAGAAACTTGCAAATATTCAATTGTGCCGCTTTTGAAGTACTGTACCGAACAAGCAATTATTGCTGAAGACGAAACACTTAATGTGGTTTCAAAAAATCTTGGCCAGTGGACGTATTTACTTAAGGTACTTACATAAGATTTAAGTTTTCATTAAAGCGTGAATTGATGTATAGTAAGCTCTTTGTGCAGCAGAATATTTGAAACTTCTTGCGATTTTCGAAACCGTAATCGTTACAGATTATTTGTTTTAAAGACAGTAATCAATAATCTACAGGATGTATTGACGACACGGGATTTTAGCTGGTTTTTTGATAGTTACGTAGCAATTGTTGGTGTGCCTGATCGCTCCTCCTCCTCGAATATTGATGGTACCTGTAGCAGCAATATTCGAGTCACTACTCGTCGTATGTGTGCTTATAATTTCCCTGTATGTTTTTCATTTTTCTGTGAATAATTTTGCTTGTTGCAAGAAGTAAAAGCCTTTCAGAATGATTTTATAGTGTATGATATTGATATATGGCGAAGATTACTTCAAGAACCGTTTATTGCCAATATTAGAAAGTTTTTGTTCCGACCCGGATGATGGCATTCGGTCTGCAACAGCAGCTGGATTTCATGAGGTATAATTTTGTCGTGATCCATTCTCAAACCAAAAAATGTTTAATGACATTGGGAATGATGCTACTTTGCATATTTTAGGTTGTAAAGTTATTGCCCGATGAACCAGCTCTTATACCACCATTTTTTGATCTGATCCGAGGAAGCTCTGCTGAAGTTGTTGGTCATTTAATGAGAAATCTTGATGAAATTCTTCCAGTGCTTTACAAATGTGTTTCTAAACAAAATAATTGCGTAAGCTCTTAAATTTCTTGTTGATTACATACGGAAAACTTAACTCATGTTTGAATAACATTCTTTAATTTTTATCGCCCAATGCAACCCATAAATTATTTGCGATTAATTTTTTGATAGGACCTTGCTAACATACAAGTTGAGCTCAGACTGGGAAAGAAAGAGCTATAAATATGTTGTTTCAGAAAATCAGCAGAGTGCAATTAGACCGTTTGATAATAGGATGCTGTCGAATGATACGTGGGACAAGTTTTTGGCGTGCGCAGCATTGTTACTTGCAAAATATTGCCGTTTTACGCTTCTTAATACCAATAAACGATCTTTTTGTGTCGTTTGTTCCAGTACTGAAGCAAGAAGTGCTAACTACAGTAAAGATACTTATATTCTGTTAAAATATATGAGTTTATTACTTTCATGCATAGGTTTCTAGTTGTATTGGATAAAACGTAGCGGTTTAAAGCAAATTTAGTCTTAGACAGAGCATCTGCTTTTTAAAATTTGTATGAGATGTGTGCTAACTCAACAAATTATGTCTACTTAGTATCAAGTTTACTTCAGCATTTGTCACTTTTGGAGTCACAAATTTGTTGCTCTTATTTATTTTCTCGTCATTTTAGTGTTTTTTAGCGTCCAATACCATGTCGAGTTGCTGCATCGATAACCCTTCTTCTCTTCATGCGTCAAAATCCAAGCAGAACTGCTCGCCAGTCTGTTATCGACTTTTTTATTCACTGTAATTTGCATATAATTGTAATCCTTGCAAATAATTTTCATGAATGACTAATACAATGAAGATAATGGAAAGCGAGAAGAATTGAGTAGTAAGCTTTTAAAAAATGAAAAATAAATGTTGATTGCTATTTTCGGAAATATTTCAGCAGTTGCAAAGCATCAAAATTGTCATCGACGACGATTATTTTTGGATGTAACTCCAGAAGTCATCTCAGTTTTTAGTCGGAAGTTTTTTCATACAAATTTTCTAACTCCAGTTTTGGAAATGGCAAATGACAAAGTAGCAAACATCAGGTACACGTCTTTATCAAGATAGGCGAATGACTTTCTTGCTCAAAAGTATGTGCCATATTTTATCAATTTTCATACTTCAAAACTTAATTGAAAAATCGTAATTACATTCACATTTTTTTAATGGAAGCAGATGAAAATATCTGTATAAACTTTTTATTCTCAACTTTTTTGTCTCAGTTATTATGCTATCTTTGTTTGATGCTTAATGTTTCATATTTTTCAAAAACTTATGAATACAGCGATTAAGTTCTTAAATTTGTTGTCATGGTTAGTCCAAAAGGTAAAATATAATTTCTCAGCTAATTTGAACTTCGTTAGCGAACTTTTTTTCAGACTCCAGTTGTGTCACATTCTTCCAAAAATAAAAGCAAATTTGTATTTGCCTCAAGATGAAGAAATTTTGAGGCAGCTAGAAAAAATTGTTCGAGATTTACTTTGTAAAGAACAAAATTCATCTACGCGACAGCTAATTCAAGCAGTATCGCATTAATAATACTTCTAAATACTTTCATTTTGATTCAGAAGTGAATTTATCACAGAAATGTTTTTAACGGTCATTTACACTTATTTTTATATAGATTGGATTGCTATTTTTCTGTTAATCAAGCATAGGTAGTCTGCTCATCTTGAGAAATATATTGTTTAATAGTTTTTGTTTAAAATTATTTTAGTATGCATGTGATTTATCTCGAGCTGAAACCCGAATTAAAGTAGACAAATCAGATCAGCAAAAAGAAGAAGCTGAAAATGAGATTTGGGATCAAGAGAAGGCAGCAACACAGACGATAGAGTCAGGAAGTAGTGAAAGTGACGGCGTCGCAATTAAAGAACATTTGAATGAAAAAGTAGTAAAGTATGATACCAACTTTCTAATGCATGAGCTTCCACACAGAAAACCAAAAAAATATAAGAGTCTTTTAACGAGCTTAACGAATTATATTCCGTTCTATAACATTTGTTTTTATATTATTCAATTCTCATTCAGCTCCTTTTCATGGATGGAAAAAATATATAGGAGTCTTTTATTCAAACTTATAACAGGCAAAAAAATGCGGAACGCTTGGAGAAAAATCTTTGGCATACGCATGTGCAACAGACAAGGACAGCCGTTGTTCGACCGCAGCCACATGTAGTTATTACGCAACGTAGCCCAAGTCCAATGCCACGTAACATAAGCTTCAATACAGCAACAGCTGAAGAAAAAAAATTACGCCTCTCTGCTACTTCACAAAGATCATGCAAGCATGAATGTAAATATTTGTCTGCATTCGTCGTTCAATAACAATACGAAATTCTATTTGTTTCATTCCCAGCTATAAAGATAATGCATTCTCGTTTCATTATGTTTTATTATTTCACGAAGTTTTAAATTGGAATATATGAGATTAGTTTGAAATAAGTAGATTTGTCACTTTTCTAAATACTTTGAGAATTAGATCTTGTAACAATGTTTATAAATTTATTTGTCATATTAAAATTTTTGATTTAATATTTGAATTTCAGTTGGTAAGAAGCAAAAAATATTAGTTAGTCCCTCACTATCAGTCCCACTTCGACAGAGTCATGATGAGGAAATATCAAAAGCAATAGTCAATTATAATAAAAGTAATAGCCAGTTAACTACTGGAGCAAAATCACATATCCCGTCCACCAGCAAACCACTTGGTATGTTTTTATACTTTTCCGTTACATTATGTTTTATTATTTCACGAAAATTTTAAATTGGATTATTCGAGATTAGTTTGAAATGAGTGGAATTTCAGCATGTGCATCAAGCGCAAATCATTCGTCATCGTCCTCTATTGCACCCTCTTCATTACTAACATCGCAAAGACTGCATAAGTTGATGCCATCAAAATCAGCCAGTTCAGTAAGATCATACAATCAAGGGCTTATCAAAGTCCGCAGTTTTTCGAATATTGCTAGAACACCAAATCATTTAAGCGTTAAAGTGCGAACTATTAAGTGAATGATGCATTTGTTGCGTAACAATTATTTCTGATTACTCTTGTAAACTTTGATAAAATGAATTTACAAAAGTGAGAGATGGACAACTCCTTTAGGAATGTGAAAATGAATATTAGCTTGTCTTCTAATCGAAGTTGGCTTCTGAAGCTAGAAACTAGCATATTGTGAAATTCATTCTAATTCCTTCCTTCAGAATTTAAAGCTACTAATTTGAAACATGTGAATCGCAATGTGAATGATTGTCCAATTATGTTTTGTATCATTTTGTGATTGTTGAGAGTGGTGTACTGAATTTTCAAAAATTTGGTTGGACGCAAATAATCTTTAAACAATAGACAAGAATTCATTATTACAGTCTGATGTAAAAGCTGAAGTACTGCAATTAATTGTGATATATGTCTCATAAAAAACGATCTCAGCATATAATAGTAATTTTCTGATACTTTTATATCTTATTCGTATAAACTAATATTTGCATTCTTTTCACCAATTTTCAGAAAAGAAAAGAGGTCATCCGTCTAAATGCGAAGGGTTTGGGCACTTTGTGGCTTTGAAAGTAAATTTGTAGGTAGAAATATGCAAGAGATTTAAGGCAGATACAAAGGTAAGACAGAAGCTGATCATAGTTATGACTAAAAATGAGAAAATAAAGTGGATATTCAAATAACTGTCCAAAAAAATGATTAATGCCGAAAGTCGATTTAAAGGACGACTTACATTTAAGTTACTTTATACACTGAATTTTTGAATGAAGTTTTCAAAAAGGATATCTCTCATTTTCGATGTGAGAATAATCGTTTCAAGTACGAAATTCACATGGTAATTATGAACTGGAGCAAAAAAAAGTTAAGATGAAGCATGATGTGTCATACCATAGAAGGAAGTTATTTTAACTTTTCTATTTTCTTCTGTGAGAAAGCATTCATTTTGCTTGCTATTGAGTGAACTGTTATTTGATGACACTGATGTGTTGACATCTAAGTGATTGCTAGCATATAATTCATTTGAAATCATAAATAAACAACAGAAAGAGAAGAAATTTGAATTCTTGATATGCTTAGGGCGCATTCATATCAATTGTAGCAGTGCTGAACTCAATTTCGGATAAATGAACAAATTTAGAATTATTTTTCTTTTAAAAACGCATTTGAATAAGGAATTTTTCAAGCCAAAAAATTGCCATAAAATAATTACAGAAAGTAGTTTTAAAAACTTATCATGATAATTTATTTGCTTGCTGCAGTATATTAGTGGTACGCAGGGAAATAATATACTTGATATGTGGATGATTTGTGAAATTTGATAAGATTTGTAAAATTTCGTTTATTTGAGAAACTACAAATGCATTAGAATAGACGTGGCTGTAAAAGAAACGCTACTGTTTAACTTAAGAAAAAATGCAAACCATTATCTTGGAAAAAAACTGCTTTGCAGGTTAAGATGGTACAAAAGAAATAAATTATTGCAATAATCAATTCCGCGCTTCGGATCTCCCTTTCATACGATACTGAGTCGAACTGAAATCTTTCATTCATTACGGAGTGACGTTTGAACGCAAAAACATTAAGCGATATAAGGCTGAAAACCGTAAAATTGGAAAATTGCTGAAATGTAAGGCAATCTCTATCTATTTCATTTATTACTGTATTCATTATTGACTTGTATAAAATGTCTGTCAGCCTAATGCAGTTGTATTTGCAAATATAGCTTTTGCGAGTGGCGGTTGTTCGTTTGTTTCCTTCTCGCTCAGTTTCCAATTCCGGCTGCTTTGTTCGCATCAGCATGAGTCGTATTGAAGTTAAAAGTGATTTTCTTCTAACTTCTTTCTGACATAATTCCTTTTCTAGCGAATTTATTTCATTTCTTTCACATCTTACAAGTCAACTTCGCAAGTTCTACTGCTGTTATCTGCGTCTACGTGTTTAATCTTTAATCAGCTTGATGATATTAATTTTGCATAAAAATCCAAAGAATCATAGTTTGCAAAAAGAGCTTATTTTTCAGGTTCATTGTTGTCTAGGCATTAATTCTTGATGTGCTATAATAATTTTTAGTTTAGGCTGTGCAGCAAAAAGAATTTTTACTATCAGTTAATGCACTATTATCCATGAATCATCAAATTTACTACTTGAACGTTTTTAAACTTTTTTTTCCATTACTTTAGATAACAAGTTTGAAATTTTGCATTCATTTTATTTGTCTAAAAATGAAATCATATTCTTGCAGGGCATTTATACAGATGCAATTTCTTAGTCACTTATTTTTTGGTTACAATTATACATTTAATGAGTGGGAAGTATTCACTTATTACTTGCAACATCATGTGCACGCTACCTACTGGAATCGCCACCTATATTCAAATATCAAACAAAAATGGTTATATTAAAGTTTGTTTCTTTTCTTCTCACTTCGCTAGCATATAACAAAGTTCAGTAACATTTAATTAAAGCATAGTATCTAATTATTGATTACACTTTTCGTTTTATCAAAACTATGCAATGTGCATGTATTAATAATAATAACAGTGTGGTGATCAATATTATTTAATGGATGTTATACATTTGTACAGGCAACAAAAACAGAATGATTGTAATTGCTAAAAAGCAAACAGGCGCATAAAAATTATACAATTACAAGTAATGATATTGATTGTTAGTAAATAAATTCTTGATAAAGAATTTGCTTAGAGATCAATCGTGGTATATTGGATTATCTGTGGTATTTCATTTGCATGTGATGTCATATTCGCTTCTGTAAATGGCTATTCTTATTGTAAAGTGGTTTTGTTGATGTGGGTATATCATTACTGTACAACGGATTTCAGCAAAAAAAAGGTTTTATATACTAATTTTATAATTCGGGTCATAAAGTTTGGTTTTATTTTATTTAGTGCACTCTATATTAATTTGAGCTCTATATCATTTCGTTTAATTTTTTATAGTGTAGTTTGTTACTGTGTGGTTTAAAAAGTAAGTGAAAGTTTATTTGAACACTTAGTTTCTGCTTTAAGATGAAAGGTGAAGTGGATATCAGCAAGAATACAGGCACTGAATACGTTCCCAAATCCGGCGATATCATGTCAAATTCTAGTGCTTCTCCAGAAACCACTTTTGCAGCACTGACAACACTTCCTGGAGAAAACGTATTCATCCTCTGTTCAGTTCTCCAATAAATGCTCACAGAATTTTATGGCTTATCATAGGACACATATATTCAATACACTTATCTACGTTACACACCCAGTCTTGTATATTTTTGCTGTTTTTTAGAACATTGTTGTTGCTTCGAAATGCATGAGCAAATACAATTGCACGGAACTTTCAACTGCTCAACTTTGGTTATCAGAAACTGCCAAGACTACAAATATCAAAAACTATGAAGCTAAAGATGTAAAACATAATCACTTACCACTTGCTAAAGAACAAGTAGCATTTTTGTTTCTGATAACTATAACAATTAAAACTTTGTTATTGCTTTGGTTCATACATTTGAGCATTTCAAGTTGAAGATAGTTTCGTATTTCGTTCATGTTTCTCACACCAAAATATGAAGAGAGTATGACTATAGAGTGAAAAACAAGCCAAGAGTAGCTAGTAACGAGTGCCGTGACGGGTTATACTAAGCAATTATTACATTACTTTGGTTCGTTCTAAAGGTGTAATCAAATCAGAGTAGCCATTTTAGAGCTGTCAACTGTTAGATATTAAGAGAAGTCCAAGGAAAATCGCTAAGAATGGACTTGTTTCATCTCCTGAATCTCAGGTTATTTTTTCATGCATACGCGACGAATTCTATGTAATACACTTTTGTTATCATTATGTGACAAAAACTGAATCTTGTATCAAACTTGGCTCTTTTGAAATTTTATTCAAATTTACTTCATTAATATTTTTTTCAGATTGTATTTCGAAGTGATTATATTGGACCAGCAATACTCTCCTTGACCAATTACTACAAAAAACCAGTAATTTGGGTTCTTAAAACAAGTGCTGCTAAATGCATTGTGGCATTTCCACATTTTGGTTGCATTCCACCTATGAAGACTGTACAGGTTAATTTTCATTACTTATATTATTCACTTATAGTCATCACTTCAAGTCACGTTTTAATCCTTTTGCATGAATCAAACACTTTATTTGAACTTTTCGTTAAAAGTAACAAGTTACATTTATTGAAATTATAACACAAAAATTTTATAAAAAGATATGACATCCATATATTTGCGTAATAGGTATCACTTTTTGTTCTGAGACTGATTTGCAAATATCTTCTTACATTCAGTATTTAAATTGTTGCGGAATAAGCATATTATGAAGAAAATATTCATATTCAGTCCGCTTAATTTCAGATCAAACTTGATCTAGTCCAACCTATGTCTATAAAGAATTCAAAGGATCAAATAACAATGGAATATATTGTCGGCGAGCAGAATGCTAGAGATGATAATATTTCTGGAATGTTCAAAAAAGAAAGATTCGTTTCAAAGAAGAAAAATTTAGAAATCGTATATGCTTAGTAATTTTAAATAGGATCAGTTTGGATGATGAAATTAATGAGCTTCCAATGAATTAGTACATACATCAAGACTGCTATTAAATTCGATTAGGGAAGACAGTTATTACTATATGTGGTTTTTTTTAAAGAATTTTAATGCGTATTCTTGTAATATTTTGGTAACCACAGTAAATACTTTTTGCATCGAACACGGACTATCTATCTACATTTCGTTTGCTGAAACAGCAGGAATGATAACAATGAAAAGAAGCTGTAATGCCTCAGAAATATTAAAAATAACAATAGGTCAGAGTAAAGTGGCTTGTGATCACATGTCAACTCACTCCTGCGATAATAATTTGAATGATATTGGGATTTGTTGCTTGATCAAAACAATTTCGATCCATACATAAATCCGATGAATAAGCAAATGTTTTGCATGAAAAAATCCACAACGGTTAAGTGACAAACTTTGTGGTGATTACTTTAAGTAATATTTGCATCTCTCACATGAATCAATAACATAAGCAACATGAGAACAACGTAACTTTCGAGCAGCTTAGTCATATAAATGTCATTATACTATGGGAAGTATAATTCAATCAATGAGACAATCGAACAAACTTATTCATGCTATAATCAGCAAGACGGAGAATTACTTGCATTAGATGACGTTGTAGTCAGAAAAAAGCTGCAATAGCGTACGTGATATCTTACACGAATTTTCTTATACGTCATATATGAGTTGTGCAAAACCGGTTTGATGTTAGTTAATTGGAAGCAATTGCATTGATGGAGACTTTCATTGCGTTTAAGGCAGGACATGTGCAATGATTGTACCGATCTCGTTATCACGTTCACTGACTTCACGCACGCTTGTATGCATCTCATACTGTTAATGTTTATACACTTTCTACTGTTAGTGATTAGGGTCGTTACAGTCAGTTTTTAAAAATATTCGTTTTTTACGTTTGCGTGTTCAACTCGTGTTGCTTTATAATCTCTTGTTTTGTTTATAATTTAAACTTTCCTATGCTTTACTGCTGTGTACGAAACTTTTGTTATTGTCTATGTACAAACACTTATTAATCTATGGTATTGGTACTCATACTAACTCTTTAATATATTATATATTTATCAATCGATAAATCAGTGGGTATCATGGGAAAATGGGTTAGAAGGCATGTATTTGTCGGCATAATATGTCGCATCTACGACTCCATGGAACAGTATAAATTATGAAGGTAATATTGAAGTAAATGACAATAGCATAATTATTGCTAGTTGAATGCATCAGTATATTGAATGTTTAGATATGTGTAGTTTAAGGACAAGTAGGAAGCGAAGTACGGCATGCTGATTTATCATTTAAAATTATATATTCTTGATGGAGACTTTGAAAAAAACTTCATGAATCCTGAAGAGAAGAGAATCGAGTTGTACTACTACTAGAGGAAGTTTGCCAAGTCATATTTGCAAGTTGAGGTCAGATATTCGGTTTTTAGACATTTAGTTCAAAGATTGTTAGTTGGTGATTCTGCATATGTAGTAGATATTTTTCTGGTTTTTGTTGCTGGTGATGTTTGCGTTATTTCAAGCAATAAGCCGTTGTTTATTGTCATATGCAAATGCTGCATAGACCAATGCAGTTAGTTACTTCATTTTAACTTAGCTACCAATTTACGTTACGAGATCAGTGTGATTTGTTTTCTGGAAGGTGAGAAATCTGCATTGTATAGTATATCAAATTCAAAATTAAAGTATAATTTTAATTTTTAGCAGTATTAGAGAATTTCATATATTTTTGTCATTTTCGTCGGTTACCAGATATTTTTGCTGGAGCATAGTATTCACTGGATTTTCAGTTATGAACGTTCTGTCCACCTTACTACCTAAAAGATTTGTAGTAAGCATTCTTCTTTTAAAACATGAAGTTTTGTAGGTATTAATTTTATTGAATCAGGCTTTTCACACCTATGTGGTTTAAGTTTCAACCATTTAAATATTTTCAAAAGGAATGATCAAAATTTTTGAACAAAATGCTTGCTTCATTGTGCTACAAAATCGTGATTCCGTTAATTTCCAGAAAAGCTGTTGAAAGTTGCTCGTTTTTATTCACTGTTCTTTGATAATTATACAAAATTCATGCAAAAAAGGTACGTTACAAATAAGCTATTTGTTGAATATGTAATTTCCAGCACTACACATAGGAGTGATCTTTGAATATGTTTGCTGTTGTAGAAAGCAATTTTGAACTCTTGTAATGATAACTTCAAGTCTTTTTTATTTACAAAATCTAAGCATTAAAAAATTTTTCTGATGACAATTTACAGATAAATAACAGGCACAAGTATGGTATAATATACCAGAATAAGAATAGCAATTTTGTCTGTTTGCGTCGTGGTGCATCTTTTTTATATTTGTTTATCCTTCAACTTCATCTAGGTTTTTGAATTATATATTTGAACTTGTTTCAATTTGATGTGACAGAATATTTTTTTAAATGAAGCATCTCTTTCAGGTCTGCATTTATTTTATTAACGAAAATGCTCAGTGCATTCGTTGTTATTTGATTGGAACGAAATTAAATAATTTTGATTGAGAATTATTCAGTGCTGTGTTTGCTCTTAATAATGGTTGATAAAATTCTTGTTTTGTTTTGTTTGTTTTTTTTTTTGAATTTTCTCATCTATTATGTTTGATTTGAGATTTGACTAGATTTCATCGCCGCTATTAATTATTGCGTTGCCAGTCATGTCATTCAAATATTCTGAAATAAATTATCATATGATCGTATTTAGTTTTTGAATTATTTGCGGTACTATATTATTCCTAAAATCATGACTGACCGGATGGCAATTGAAGAGAAGGTCAATGCACCACCATTTTTCGATTCGTTGAAGACTGATTTTCACACTTCTCATTTATTTTTTCTTTGTTGCAGGTGATGTGGAACGATTGATGTTCAGACCATTTCATTTCTTTGATCACTGCTATTCTGTTCTTTAATTAATGGTGGCTAAAAGAGCAGTATCATACCGTAATTTCATTCCTGCCCCATAAATTCTATTGTTTTCATCTTTTTCCCTTCTCGTCTCTATTTTAATTGCTTTTACGCTCGAATTATGCATGCCATTTTTTAATCGATGTTGAACTTTAAGAAGCTTCTTACATTCACCGTTGTTATGTAGAAAGTTTGTGACGACTGTATTTCGCTGCTGTTACGTGATGTTGGTAATGAGAAATGGCATTTGGTGGATGATGAAGGGGGATATTTCCGACTTATCTCATTCATCAGATCCATTTGAGCAATTTATATACTTTATCCGTTTTAAAAGCAAATAGATAATTCTGCGTTAAACAAACTTGTTTTTCTCATTATATTATCAGAACTGTAGTGAGTGCACTGAGTTGTTGTTGTAAGTCTATTTTCTAGTTATTTCCAGGTATTTATTGTGTTGAAAACAATTATATTTCGTTATTAATCAGTGATTTGAAATGTGGGTATCATGAAAGGTGAAACCGTTTATAAGTATTTTGTTGCTGTTATGGAAAATTAAATTATAATATTTTGAAAAGTCTTCAAATCATCAAAATTTTTGCAACATGACTGCTAAAGATTTATAGTAGTAAGGTGATGATCTTAGGTCTGTACTGTGTTGTCTTTTTTTTATATATTAGAAACGTAGTCATCAAGTGTAAGGCCACACTAGTTTTGTTACTATTTCCAGACATAATTTTTAACTAACCAGAACTGATCATGTACATTGTACTACATATTACTGATTACCAGTATGCATTTTTTTCTGCACGATTACTTGTTTTTAGTTGATTTATACGACTGTGCCTTTATTACTTTCTAAAAGGCAATTTCACTAAAAAAAATTTCCAATCACATAATAATCATCGCTTAATTCTTGCCTCCATTGTGCGCTTATAATAATACTTTTTACTTTGCTTAATTTAGGATGAGTTTGTCGTTCTCATTCATCATTTCTACACTACTATGTATGAAAACGGATTTATGCATCGATGCACAGGTTGTTTGTTGCTTTATTCGTAAATAAAATTGTGGAAATAATCAATCATTTAATATTCTCACAAAGGATTCAATTTGTCGAGTTTTGTAGTCGTATATTTGTATGAAGCTAATTGGGACAGCAGAAGATAATAGGAAGAATATTTGTTGTAATATGCATTAGTACTTATAATCTGGTAATGGCAGAGTCGACACAGCATTTCTTAGATAAAGTGAGAAGTTTAATTTAACTATTTTCTCAAAATTTTCTATGACGATATCATTGAATTTTACTTCTCTTACTTTGTATACAATATTTATTTTACTTTATTTAGATTCAAGACATTGCTGCTGGACCTCAAATTCTTCAACAAGGTGATTTATTTTTAACTACGAAGTAAATTTCAATTTTTTTTTGTTAATTATTTGCCAAACTTTTTAATAAAATAATATTAAGTAAATTTTTCAGTACTTCCACCTCAGCAACCACAACCCCAAGTATTAGTACAGGCTAAAACTGTCGTTCCACTATTAATGCAACAGAACAAAGAGGCAGAAGTGTAGGTTTTTGATGCACTCTTATTTTCCCGCAGTCAGTTTTAATTATTGAATCATCAAGTATAGAATATATATTTTTTGTTTATCTCATTTGAATCCATGCCTTTAATTATCGTAAGGAGTGCAGTCTTTCATAATTTTAATTGGTGCCAAAGATTTCATTAATTTTCGATCGCTACTCTCATAAGTGGACTAACTTTTAACAATACATGGAAATAGTTTTTACCGACCGATCTTCTTAGCACGCGAAATGATGCATTATTTATCTAGAGGTTATTTTTCAAGTCGCGGACAGTGAAGTTTAATTGATTTTGGTGTTTTAGACCTGGGAATTTGCGTAGCGACGAATTACAACAATTAGAATCATTTAAAAAACATTTGACTGACTATGAAGAATGTAAAGAAGATGTGCACAAATACTGCTTCCGTCCTGGACTTGATCTCAAAAGCGACATGGCAGTGTTGGAATGTCTTCAGAATGTAAAACTGAGTGAAACGGAACTTCTAACGGCTCCATGTGAGCATGTCGTTTGGAATTTTAAAGTAAGTTTGATTGATTGAATAAACAGTAGAAAAGTTATTAAATGCTCTCTCGTATTGTTAAAACATTCGTAATGGCAACGATTGAGTTAATCATTACAATTTGTGTTCATGTTTCAGGTAAATTTAACACAAGATAGTCAGTTTCGACTTGCATCCAAAATTTTTTGCAAAGATGAAATTGCAGTTAATTCCAATTTAGCAAAATGTACCGAAAAAACAGAACCTGGTTATTCACTTTCTTGTTTTATGGATTTCATTTTAAGTCTGCCGAAAGAATCGAGGTGCTTCCAATTTTTGGGTATGTTTATTTCTTGTAATTGCTTTCCCAAGAACCCTAATTGTCGTTATCGGAAAATACTTCAGTTTTGTAGTATGAAAGCTTGTGTATTTATTACTTTTTACAGACAAAATATTCTAAATAATTTTTGCAGTTTTCGACGGACTTCTCAAGTGAATGAGCCAAAATGATACTTGATTTGCATTTATACTAGCATTGATGACATTTGCATTGTAATTGTTTTTAGACCGCTCTGCTAGGCTTGCATTTTCGGATTTCCGTGTCGTTGGTCCATTTGTAGCAGTATGTAAAAGCACAATAGAAAGATTACAATGTGGAACACTGGCCCGACCATCTTCTGATGCTAAGTTTCGAGTTCCACATTCACAAGGTAATAATTTTGCTAGATTTTCTATTTATTATTATTGCTAATTCAGGGTTAATTTTGTCTCTCATTAATTGGGACTGTATATAATTTTGAATGATTTGTTTTTAATTCTATCTCAGAAAAAGTTGTAACAGTTTATAGGTTATACATTGGAATGTTTGATAAGCAAAATGTATCAGGCACATGAGAAGGATCCAAAGCCAGCTGTAGATCCGGCTTGTAGGCATGAAATTATGCGGATTGCTGAATTGCAGACAGAAGATTTCCACCTTGATAGACCCCTGTATTTTGCATGTCGAGAAGATCGAGAGGTATCGAAATTTTTCACTGAGTTTAAGTGTGTCAAATGTATTAACATTTTATGTTCAGGGTTTACTTCATAAATATGTTCATTTAAAGAAGATATTTCAGAAATTTTGCAAAGAAGTACAATCAGGTCAAGGCAAAGTGCTTGAATGCTTACTTAATCATCGCACAGACTCAATGATGGAACCAGAAGTCTATATCTATACTTTTAATTTGGGAAAAAAAAACTAAAAAATTTGCCAGTAGTATTAACTTGAGTATTCTTACAACCTAATTTCGATCAAATTTAATAATTTAATGAAGTTCTGGACTCGTGTTTCAAAGTATGACTATTTTTCGTTTTTCAGCTCAATAAGTTCCATTTCACATAGCTGTTCTTTTGAATAGGGATGTTTACTTAAACAAAAAAAGCGTTGTTTTAGTGTTCAACATTGTTAGCAGAACGAGCAAACATGATGGGACAAAATTATCGCTTGTTGCATCCATTACTAAATGGATGTTCTACAGAATTGAAAGAATTTAGATGCGCACCTTCAGCTTTATTCTCTGGATCTCCAAATTTTCATTTAAGTTGGGTCCTGTTGTGCTTAGAAGATGCAGCTCATAGTAAACCTGGAAAGATCACGGAAAAGTGCCAGCACGAAATGATCTCACATCGTAAAATGATGATGAGCGAGTTTCGATTAAGCCCAGAAGTTGTTTTAACTTGCGGCAGAGTATGTTTCAAACATTTTTGTGGTCATTCTACCAAGTTGTTGGTTTCCTTTTTCATCACAAATTTGTATATCTATAATGTATTCAGATTTGTAGATTTCTTGAAGCTATTTTAAATCATAATTGTCTTGTTATGTAGGATATTGATATGTTCTGTAGTCCGAGAGGAGACATTGAAGCAGAAGGTCGAACTCTTCATTGTTTGATGAATCATGCACAAGAAAGAAATGAAAATCAGAAGCTTAGTCCACAGTGTATACAAGCTTTGCAAACTGTAGTAAAAGTAATTATTACTTTTATTTTCTCATCTTTAGTTATGCAGAGATAGGTGAGATCCAGGTTTCGAAGTCAGTTTTATGTTCATTTAAATAATATATATGTGTAACAAAAATAGTAGCTGGTGAGCAACATTTATGCGAGTTATAAGTTTTTTCTATTGTAGGTCGATTATTTCAGGTTGCAGACATTGGTACAAATTATAAAGTGGATGAAGTGTTGTATGCTAGCTGCAAAAAACTGATAGATGGTAAACTTTTAACTCAAGTTTCCTTGAGTTAAATTTTAAACAATTTTTTTTCACACTGAATGTTTAACTGATGCTTATTTAGCAGTAAATTTTCATTTTCTCATGTGATATGATTTTAAATATAAAAGTGAAATATTACAACTATACTAATAATGAATTATATGAACTTTTACTAAAGTACTTTCGTATAGCTTATTATAATCGGTAGGTCCATGTGCGATGGATGCGCAATCAGAAGCGAGCACTCTAGGTTGCTTAATGAGACATATGGATATAGATATGCCAAAACATTGTGAACAGCGGTTGCTGGAGGTTCAGTATTTTATCGCACGTGATTGGACCTTGGACCCACAGTTGTATACTGCTTGTCATGAAGATGCTGTCTCTAAGTATGTTTACATATTTTACACAAGTTTTTAACCTATATTTTGAGAAAACTAAATTCATTTGTGTATTTAAGAAACAAATGTAAAAAAGTTTTTGTATTTCATAAGTATTGTTTATAATTTTTAAAATTATTTCAAGATGTTCGGCTAATGCAAATTGGCATAAGCAGCAGTCTAATCAAGAAGGACCTGATCCGGGACCATTTGTTCTTGCTTGTCTTTACCGTGCTGCTTACAACGATCAGAATCCTGTACTTTATTTGTTCCTCTTTCCATCTTTATGCAGCTTTTCAAACAGAGCTTAAATAAATGCTTATACTTATAGCTCAAACCTGAATGTGCTGCGAATGTGCGTCGTGTATTGCGCACTCGTGCAGTACGTGTGAATCTCATACCAGATATTGAGTCTTCATGTCGAGAAGCTTTATCAGAATATTGTTCAGCTGATGTTAAACCATTGCAAGTATGTGTTTTATGAATGATATATCATTTTGAAGTGAACATATCGAAACCAAAAACTACTTTCACTTTTATGTATTTCTGATTAATGTTGAACCTTTTAAGAACAAAAATTAAGCATATATGTGAATTATCTCTTATAATGTATATTTTGTAAAAAACGAGGTTCTTTCAATAGACAGTTGGGCAGGAATTATTTCAGATTTTGAAATGAACAATAGGATAGCTCTTTTTTTCATAAGGAATCTAGTCAATGTCCTTTTTTTATAAATTAATAATATCATTCCCTCATTTGTTGTATCAGTTTCAACCGCAGTTTCTAAAGCAATGCTTCGTTTTTTACAGGAAATGAAGTGTTTGCAAGAACATTTCCAAGAAGAAGAATTTAAAAAAAAATTTGGAGAATGCTCTGTCATTATAACTGATTACACAAAGATGATGGCTAAAGATACAGCTCTTAATCAAGCTCTCACAAAAGCTTGTCATCCTGTGATTTCAAAATATTGTCAGGTTGTTTTCACCAAGTTAATTGTTATTAGAGTGTTTCTAATGTTGTGGTAATATATATAATGTCCAAGTTAATTTTCGCTCTCGCTTTATTGGTTTTGGCGCTGGATCGCATTCCAGTACTCTGGCAGTACTTGTCCCGCGCTCAGGTTCTTTGTACTCATCGTTTTCACTCCCCTCCTCGAGGAATCCATATCGACTATCGAAAGAGGTGCTTTCGAGTATCTTCTTGAGAACTATCGATTGAACATATGCTTTAACGTGATGAGATATACTGGTCTTTTTCGCTTAGCGTTTGTGGAAATCACAATCCTATCCTAAGTCATCACATGCGGAATTATTTTGGTCCTGCATTTCATCTCTGACCCAAGCTTTATTAGAAAGTATATCATATTTTCTCTTTTTATTAGTCTTGACTGCTATTAATCTGTCTTGACTAGTGATGCCAACCTCAATCAGGATTACCTCACGTCGCTTCTTA